GACACAGACGGAAGCCTCCCGCCATATATAAGGACACAGACTGAAGCCTCCCGCCGTATATAAGGACACAGACTGAAGCCTCCCGCCGTATATAAGGACACAGACTGAAGCCTCCCGCCATATATAAGGACACAGACTGAAGCCTCCCGCCGTATATAAGGACACAGACTGAAGCCTCCCGCCGTATATAAGGACACAGACTGAAGCCTCCCGCCATATAGAAGGACCAGACTGAAGCCTCCCGCCATATATAAAGACACGGACTGAAGCCTCCCGCCGTATATAAGGACACAGACTGAAGCCTCCCGCCGTATATAAGGACACAGACTGAAGCCTCCCGCCATATATAATTACACAGACTGAAGCCTCCCGCCATATATAAGGACACAGACTGAAGCCTCCCGCCATATATAAGGACACAGACTGAAGCCTTCCGCCATATATAAGGACCAGACTGAAGCCTCTCGTCGTATATAAGGACTCAGACTGAAGCCTCCCGCCATATATAAGGACACAGACTGAAGCCTCCCGCCATATATAAAGACACGTACTGAAGCCTCCCGCCATATATAAGGCCACAGACTGAAGCCTCCCGCCATATATAAGGACACAGACTGAAGCCTCCCGCCGTATATAAGGACACAGACTGAAGTCTCCCGCCATATATATTACACAGACTGAAGCCTCCCGCCATATATAAGGACACAGACTGAAGCCTCCCGCCATATATAAGGACACAGACTGAAGCCTCCCGCCATATATAAGGACACAGACTGAAGCCTCCCGCCATATCTAAGTACTGCGCGATGGAACGACAGTAAAAACATACCATTAGATGTACTACGGCAGTGTTAATGAAAGTCTACACTATACAGATATCAAACCATCTAGATATCTGAAGTGGAATCTTACGGACTGCAATGCTTGTGTTCTGTCATGTTAGTTGCATCTTTTGCCAATGGTCACTTGTGCATGTGTTTTATTGTACAGTCTTATCATCTTCTAGTCGGCTGAGAAAAATTGGATAGGCTGTAGATGTTTTGAAAGTCATCACTCATGGTCTACAGAATGTAAATTATCCCCCCAATTTATCTCATCTTCATCTTAAGCGATTAAAGAAAGATGAATATTTCCTGGCCAACACTGTAAATACTATCCAGCCTTGTGATCTGGTATAAACAAGTAATGTCTCTATCTGTAAAAATCATCGCTTGCATGAAAATTACTAGACATTATTTCTCCTTCAGAAAAATGTGAAGAATGTGCAGGCATACTTTCTTTCGACATCGTGCATTCCTCTTTTTTTCTTTCAGAAAAAGTTTAAACGAAACAATCAAAATACAGTCATGAAGGTTTCACTGCTAATTTGTATACTATATGGTGCGATGAGTACAAATTTTGAAGAGCTTCAAAGAGCTTTTGATAAAACCTTAACAACAAATCCGACCATCCTGCACACTACACCAGACCCTATTCTTAACCAAAGGTAGGTCTGTGTCATCTGTTTATGATAACTTTATTTTCAATATTTTCAAAGGAATGTGTGATCTGGAAGTATGAACTGTGCTGATATATGTTTTGTGAACAAATGAAGGTGACCGTGTAGTCATTGAAAATCCATACTTAAATTTTCTACTAGTTGTTATAAGTGTATGTATTCGAGTCCAAAAACGGGGAATATATCTTTTCTCTTTATTTGGTGATTCTACATGTATGTAACATATCAAGACCGATGTATCATATGCATCATGCATCTAAACGGTATCAAACAACTTGTACGTGTGTCATCATGCTGTTTCATACATTCCGTGTACAAGGGCTGATTGATAAGTTGTGAGCCTCATATTTAAGGGTTTAATTTTGGCGTGCATTGTTTTTCAACATAATCCACTATAGTGTCTATACGCTTTTGCCAGCGATGTTTAAGGGCCTCAATGCTACTTTTAAGAAAGTGCTACACATTTCTTATGCAAATATTGAATCACTGCTCTTTCAGCCATTTCACCTAGTTTACAAAAGTCACTTGCCCTTTTTACTTTAGAGTGCTACCTCTCTATATAAACTGACCAAATGACATCAGTATTTCGGTACACAGCTTTAGATAGGCAGGGAATAGTAGAGCTGAAAAAAGACAACCCTACTTAACTTATTCAATACAAGGCTTACAACTTTTCAATCAGGCCTCGTAACTCGCTCTTTTCTGAACAATTAAGGAGACTCGATCCTATATAATACACACGTAATGTTTCCTATAGTGTGGTTATGTAAGTTTCGTTTTGAGCGAAATTGAATTCTTCTTTATAGAGATTATGAAAAGCATGTCACAATATCAACAAAAACAGAAGAGACAAGATGGGAAGTTCACGCCTTTTGAAAACAATTCTAACGAAGGAATTAGCTGTCATGAGTATTTTTGATTTCAAGCCAATTACGTTAGTTGACGTAAAGATATCGACGCGAGTGGTGAATGTGTAGTGATGAAATTGAGGCGGGATTGGAAGACAGCTACAAAGATTTAGTCACTGACGATCGATCAGACCTAACGATCTAGTCACCAACGATTGACCAGAACGGACGATCTAGTCACCAACGATCAACCAGAACGGACGATCTAGTTACCAACGATCGACCAGAACGGACGATCTAGTCACTAACGATCGACCAGACCTAACGATCAAGTCACCAATGATGGACCAGACCTAACGATCTAGTCACCAACGATTGACCAGAACGGACGATTTAGTCACCAACGATCGACCAGACCTAACGGTCAAGTCACCAATGATGAACCAGACCTAACGATCTAGTCACCAACGATCGGCCACAACGGACGATCTAGTCACCAACGATCGACCAAAATGGACGATCTAGTCACCAACGATCGACCAGACCTAACGATCTAGTCACCAACGATCGACTAGAACGGACAATATAGTCACCAACGATTGACCAAAACGGACGATCTAGTCACTAAAGATCAAGTCACCAATGATCGACCAAAACGGACGATTTAGTCACCAACGATCGACCAGACCTAACGATCTAGTCACAAACGGTCGACCAGAACGGACGTTCTAGTCACCAACGATCGACCAGAACGGACGTTCTAGTCACCAATGATCGACCAGAACGGACGATCTAGTCACCAAAGATCAAGTCACCAATGATCGACCAGAACGGACTATCTAGTCACCAAAGATTGACCAGACCTAACGATCTCGTCACTAAAGATCAAGTCACCAATGATCGACCAAAACGGACGATTTAGTCACCAACGATCGACCAGACCTAACGATCTAGTCACAAACGGTCGACCAGAACGGACGTTCTAGTCACCAACGATCGACCAGAACGGACGTTCTAGTCACCAATGATCGACCAGAACGGACGATCTAGTCACCAACGATCGACCAGACCTAACGATCTAGTCACAAACGGTCGACCAGAACGGACGTTCTAGTCACCAACGATCGACCAGAACGGACGATCTAGTCACCAACGATCGACCAGAACGGACGATTTAATCACCAAAGATCGACCAGACCTAACGATCAAGTCACCAACGATTGACCAGAACGGACGATCTAGTCACCAACGATCGACCAGAACGGACGTTCTAGTCACCAATGATGGAGCAGAACGGACTAATAAAATCTTTCCCTACCCTGAGGGTGTGATAGAGAAATCTCCAACCCGAGGGGTGATTTTTGTTGTTGTCTAACCCGAGGCTCTGCCGAGGGTTAGACTACAAAAAAATCACCCCGAGGGTTGGAGATTTCTCTGTCACATCCTCTGAGGGTAGGGGTTGATTATTTTTCTCCCAACCCATTATTTCCGCCACGACGTAAAAAAAAAAAAAAAAATCCTACGGTACAAGTGCCTGAATGGCGCATGAATATCATCATTCACGCTTCCAAAATTCTACATTCTTCCGCGAGAGCAAAATGACAGACTACAAACGCAATATGAACACCATTAAAAATATTTATTTTTTGGAAATTAAATATTTTAATTAGCGATAGATACATGGAAATACTTGTATTGAACAACATTTAACTCCGTATCATTTATTAAGGTAGGGTAGGCTTGCCGCGATGTCATGGACAAAAAGGGGATTTCCCAGTTTATAATGACGTCATTGTTTATGCGCGCGAAAAATTGCAATGGTGTGAGTGTCACGCGTGTGTTCATTCAGAATTAGAGTCATAGATGATCCTCCATGTGGGATAGATTTATCCTCCATGGGTGTTCCACATTGGACATATGTATCCTACATGGGCAGAGGTGGGAGAAAATCTAGTCGCCAACGATCAACCAGACCTAACGATCTAGTCACCAACGATTGACCAGAACGGACGATCTAGTCACCAACGATCGACCAGACCTAACATATAGTCACCAACGATTGACAAGAATGGACGAGCTAGTAATCATTGATCGAAGAGCTCGCACGATTTATATCATGTCTTGCGATATGCCTAGTCCGCTTTAGTACAATGTACATTTGGTAGTTGCATGGTTAGAAGCATAGAGTATTTCTATAGAATTAAAATCCTCCATCTCTATACGATCCAATCTATTTGTCAGGTTTACATCTTTGCTGATTCACGGATACATGTCGTAGATCATCTTAGAAGTAAGTAGGTCAAAACATAGTAAGATGACGATTCTGCTTACGTAATCAGTTGTGGGGAAAGGCACCACAAACAGGTATTTTCTTCCTGGTATATACTTATTAATAAACACAGAATCACATATAGTAAAACCCTGTCACACACTGTCGCTGTAAGTTTTTCTACCTTATCTAAATGTTGGCCGTAAGGCGTCACGGGTCATGTATATTCACACATCCTGGTAAACTAGGGCTCCATAATAGGAATCTACTCATGCATTTTCCTACAATACAGGGTGTGTTTCTTACCAGGGTATCACGTTGACTCATTTGTGTATAGGCATTTAAGACAGAACTCCCAGTCTTCGGTCAACACAGGTAACAAACGATGGCAAAAACGCCAGGAATATTCGTGGCTATTACCGTTCTATCCTTCTTGGGATTTTTCTTCCAAGCAGCGGGGCTAGCCTTACCTTGGTGGTTTGTAATCAATGACATAGTATATATTGGAGTATGGTACCTCGCCTACTGCTGGGGAGGAAACATTGGGTCCGGCAACTGTTCAACAATCACACTGAATGCTGCGGACCAGGCTACCCAGCCGGGCAGTGAAGTAGGTAAGATATCAGTCAGTGGACGTATCACTGGATAAATGTATTCACAATACAATGATTAACATCTGTACAATGTTCGAATTTACCATCAGTATTTAGTGAGGCGACCTCCCTTTAGATTTACATCTTTTGTTATCTTAAAGTAAGTAGTACTAACACAGGCTCAATTCGCCACCATTTAATTCTCAATAACAAGTATTTAATTTGGCCTGTTCAATATTTAGTCCCCTTCCTTATTACCTCACGTAGTCTATGACTTGCAGTATCAAAGAAGATGCTCCCACAAAGCACCTCCATTGTATTACCAATTCCTAAAATGTCGGACAGGCAAATTATGAGTATAATAGTTACATGTCACGCTTCCAAATCATTAGAAAATCATAAGAATAGAAAATAACATCATTATTTTGGGAAATGGAATCACAAAAGACACAAAAGCAAGTTCGTGGAGTGTATATCTTATACATGTTAAAAAAGCTATCTTGCGTGACGTGTACTATTTGTTATATATAGAAATAACATGTCTGTCCGTAGAAAGGCTACCTACTGAAAAATATACCCTGTCGTATATATATAGAAAGAGATGTTTTCTACTCCCAAGTGTAAAGTGTACAGTGTGATTTATATAGAGATGTTGTCTACATAGAAAGGCTGCCCAGTGTAAAGTGTACAATGTGATTTATATAGAGATGTTGTCTACATAGAAAGGCTGCCCAGTGTAAAGTGTACAATGTGATTTATACAGAAATGTTGTCTACATAGAAAGGCTGCCCAGTGTAAAGTGTACAATGTGATTTATATAGAGATGTTGTCTACATAGAAAGGCTGCCCAGTGTAAAGTGTACAATGTGATTTATATAGAGATGTTGTCTACATAGAAAGGCTGCCCAGTGTAAAGTGTACAATGTGATTTATATAGAGATGTTGTCTACATAGAAAGGCTGCCCAGTGTAAAGTGTACAATGTGATTTATATAGAGATGTTGTCTACATAGAAAGGCTGCCTAGTGTAAAGTGTACAATGTGATTTATATAGAGATGTTGTCTACATAGAAAGGCTGCCTAGTGTAAAGTGTACAATGTGATTTATATAGAGATGTTGTCTACATAGAAAGGCTGCCCAGTGTAAAGTGTACAATGTGATTTATATAGAGATGTTGTCTACATAGTTGTCTAAAGGCTGCCCAGTGTAAAGGCTGCCCAGTGTAAAGTGTACAATGTGATTTATATAGAGATGTTGTCTACATAGAAAGGCTGCCCAGTGTAAAGTGTACAATGTGATTTATATAGAGATGTTGTCTACATAGAAAGGCTGCCCAGTGTAAAGTGTACAATGTGATTTATATAGAGATGTTGTCTACATAGAAAGGCTGCCTAGTGTAAAGTGTACAATATGATTTATATAGAGATGTTGTCTACATAGAAAGGCTGCCTAAGTTAACGTGTACAATGTGATTTATATAGAGATGTTGTCTGGATAGAATGGCTGCCTAGTGTAAAGTGTACAATGTGATTTATATAGAGATGTTGTCTACACTGCCCCAGTGTAAAGTGTACAATGTGATTTATATAGAGATGTTGTCTACATAGAAAGGCTGCCCAGTGTAAAGTGTACAATGTGATTTATATAGAGATGTTGTCTACATAGAAAGGCTGCCCAGTGTAAAGTGTACAATGTGATTTATATAGAGATGTTGTCTACATAGAATGGCTGCCTAGTGTAAAGTGTACAATGTGATTTATATAGAGATGTTGTCTACATAGAAAGGCTGCCCAGTGTAAAGTGTACAATGTGATTTATATAGAGATGTTGTCTACATAGAAAGGCTGCCCAGTGTAAAGTGTACAATGTGATTTATATAGAGATGTTGTCTACATAGAAAGGCTGCCCAGTGTAAAGTGTACAATGTGATTTATATAGAGATGTTGTCTACATAGAAAGGCTGCCCAGTGTAAAGTGTACAATGTGATTTATATAGAGATGTTGTCTACATAGAAAGGCTGCCTAGTGTAAAGTGTACAATGTGATTTATATAGAGATGTTGTCTACATAGAAAGGCTGCCTAGTGTAAAGTGTACAATGTGATTTATATAGATATGTTGTCTACATAGAAAGGCTGCCCAGTGTAAAGTGTACAATGTGATTTATATAGAGATGTTGTCTACATAGAAAGGCTGCCCAGTGTAAAGTGTACAATGTGATTTATATAGAGATGTTGTCTACATAGAAAGGCTGCCCAGTGTAAAGTGTACAATGTGATTTATATAGAGATGTTGTCTACATAGAAAGGCTGCCCAGTGTAAAGTGTACAATGTGATTTATATATGAGATGTTGTCAATACATAGAAAGGCTGCCCAGTGTAAAGTGTACAATGTGATTTATATAGAGATGTTGTCTACATAGAAAGGCTGCCCAGTGTAAAGTGTACAATGTGATTTATATAGAGATGTTGTCTACATAGAAAGGCTGCCTAGTGTAAAGTGTACAATGTGATTTATATAGAGATGTTGTCTATAGTGCCTGTGTACAATGTGATTTATATAGAGATGTTGTCTACATAGAAAGGCTGCCCAGTGTAAAGTGTACAATGTGATTTATATAGAGATGTTGTCTACATAGAAAGGCTGCCCAGTGTAAAGTGTACAATGTGATTTATATAGAGATGTTGTCTACATAGAAAGGCTGCCCAGTGTAAAGTGTACAAGTGTACATAGAAAGGCTGTGATTGAAAGGCTGCCTATATAGAGATGTTGTCTACATAGAAAGGCTGCCTAGTGTAAAGTGTACAATGTGATTTATATAGGCTGCTGCCAGTGTAAAGTGTACAATGTGATTTATATAGAGATGTTGTCTACATAGAAAGGCTGCCTAGTGTAAAGTGTACAATGTGATTTATATAGAGATGTTGTCTACATAGAAAGGCTGCCCAGTGTAAAGTGTACAATGTGATTTATATAGAGATGTTGTCTACATAGAAAGGCTGCCTAGTGTAAAGTGTACAATGTTATTTATATAGAGATGTTGTCTACATAGAAAGGCTGCCCAGTGTAAAGTGTACAATGTGATTTATATAGAGATGTTGTCTACATAGAAAGGCTGCCTAGTGTAAAGTGTACAATGTGATTTATATAGAGATGTTGTCTACATAGAAAGGCTGCCTAGTGTAAAGTGTACAATGTGATTTATATAGAGATGTTGTCTACATAGAAAGGCTGCCTAGTGTAAAGTGTACAATGTGATTTATATAGAGATGTTGTCTACATAGAAAGGCTGCCCAGTGTACATAGAAGATGTTGCTGCCCCAGTGTAAAGTGTACAATGTGATTTATATAGAGATGTTGTCTACATAGAAAGGCTGCCCAGTGTAAAGTGTACAATGTGATTTATATAGAGATGTTGTCTACATAGAAAGGCTGCCCAGTGTAAAGTGTACAATGTGATTTATATAGAGATGTTGTCTACATAGAAAGGCTGTCCAGTGTAAATATAGTGTACAATGTGATTACAATGTGATATATAGAGATGTTGTCTACATAGAAAGGCTGCCCAGTGTAAAGTGTACAATGTGATTTATATAGAGATGTTGTCTACATAGAAAGGCTGCCCAGTGTAAAGTGTACAATGTGATTTATATAGAGATGTTGTCTACATAGAAAGGCTGCCCAGTGTAAAGCGTACAATGTGATTTATATAGAGATGTTGTGTAGATAGAATGGCTGCCTAGTGTAAAGTGTACAATGTGATTTATATAGAGATGTTGTCTACATAGAAAGGCTGCCTAGTGTAAAGTGTACAATGTGATTTATATAGAGATGTTGTCTACATAGAAAGGCTGCCCAGTGTAAAGTGTACAATGTGATTTATATAGAGATGTTGTCTACATAGAAAGGCTGCCCAGTGTAAAGTGTACAATGTGATTTATATAGAGATGTTGTCTACATAGAAAGGCTGCCCAGTGTAGTGTAAAGTGTACAATGTGATTTATATAGAGATGTTGTCTACATAGAATATAGGCTGCCATAGAAAGGCTGTGTAAAGTGTACAATGTGATTTATATAGAGATGTTGTCTACATAGAAAGGCTGCCCAGTGTAAAGTGTACAATGTGATTTATATAGAGATGTTGTCTACATAGAAAGGCTGCCTAGTGTAAAGTGTACAATGTGATTTATATAGAGATGTTGTCTACATAGAAAGGCTGCCCAGTGTAAAGTGTACAATATGATTTATATAGAGATGTCTAGATATAAAGGCTGCCTAAGTTAAAGTGTACAATGTGATTTATATAGAGATGTTGTCTACATAGAAAGGCTGCCCAGTGTAAAGTGTACAATGTGATTTATATAGAGATGTTGTCTACATAGAAAGGCTGCCCAGTGTAAAGTGTACAATGTGATTTATATAGAGATGTTGTCTACATAGAAAGGCTGCCTGATTTATATAGTGTAAAGTGTACAATGTGATTTATATAGAGATGTTGTCTACATATAGAGATGTTGTCTACATAGAAAGGCTGCCCAGTGTAAAGTGTACAATGTGATTTATATAGAGATGTTGTCTACATAGAAAGGCTGCCCAGTGTAAAGTGTACAATGTGATTTATATAGAGATGTTGTCTACATAGAAAGGCTGCCTAGTGTAAAGTGTACAATGTGATTTATATAGAGATGTTGTCTACATAGAAAGGCTGCCTAGTGTAAAGTGTACAATGTGATTTATATAGAGATGTTGTCTACATAGAAAGGCTGCCCAGTGTAAAGTGTACAATGTGATTGATATAGAGATGTTGTCTACATAGAAAGGCTGCCCAGTGTAAAGTGTACAATGTGATTTATATAGAGATGTTGTCTACATAGAAAGGCTGCCCAGTGTAAAGTGTACAATGTGATTTATATAGAGATGTTGTCTACATAGAAAGGCTGCCCAGTGTAAAGTGTACAATGTGATTTATATAGAGATGTTGTCTACATAGAAAGGCTGCCTAGTGTAAAGTGTACAATGTGATTTATATAGAGATGTTGTCTACATAGAAAGGCTGCCCAGTGTAAAGTGTACAATGTGATTTATATAGAGATGTTGTCTAGATAGAATGGCTGCCTAGTGTAAAGTGTACAATGTGATTTATATAGAGATGTTGTCTACATAGAAAGGCTGCCTAGTGTAAAGTGTACAATGTGATTTATATAGAGATGTTGTCTACATAGAAAGGCTGCCCAGTGTAAAGTGTACAATGTGATTTATATAGAGATGTTGTCTACATAGAAAGGCTGCCTAGTGTAAAGTGTACAATGTGATTGATATAGAGATGTTGTCTACATAGAAAGGCTGCCCAGTGTAAAGTGTACAATGTGATTTATATAGAGATGTTGTCTACATAGAAAGGCTGTCCAGTGTAAAGTGTACAATGTGATTTATATAGAGATGTTGTCTACATAGAAAGGCTGCCTAGTGTAAAGTGTACAATGTGATTTATATAGAGATGTTGTCTACATAGAATGGCTGCCTAGTGTAAAGTGTACAATATGTTTGATATAGAGATGTTGTCTACATAGAAAGGCTGCCAAGTGTAAAGTGTACAATGTGATTTATATAGAGATGTTGTCTACATAGAAAGGCTGCCCAGTGTAAAGTGTACAATGTGATTTATATAGAGATGTTGTCTACATAGAAAGGCTGCCCAGTGTAAAGTGTACAATGTGATTTATATAGAGATGTTGTCTACATAGAAAGGCTGCCCAGTGTAAAGTGTACAATGTGATTTATATAGAGATGTTGTCTACATAGAAAGGTATATTCTTCAATATAGATATCTGTACATACGTCCAATAATAAAGGTATATATAGGTATTGTATATGTATGTCTGTATAGAACGTCTACCGAATTTAAGGTATATCCTTCAATATATATATGTGTGTGTGTGTGTGTGTGTGTGTGTGTGTACAAACGTTGTGATTACCCTGTGACCACCTGTTACAGATATTGTAGTTAACATACACATTCCTGAAGTATTATATAAAAACGGATTTATTAAATAGTCGCTTAGTTACACAATAACTAATACTGTGGAGGTCTTCTTTCATTGTTGGCACGCGGAAGTGACGCTCCTCAGTCTGTTATCCATTGGACATTTAGTTACAGCTGGAATCCAACATTAGCTCCTCTACATTGAGGCGTTATTTTATAACCACTGAGTGTAGGTAGTATGTTGTGTTGTTGTCAACAATCGTACGATTATCACATTACGTATGGTCTCTGTTGGTGTCTGCATGTCTGTTGTGATTACAGATATATCAGTTTGACCATTCGACAGGGATAATCGATTTCAGTGCTTTTAATCGCATTCTTGTCTTACTCCTTTGTCTCCTTTAGTGTTTGGTATGCTACCAAGCGAAACACTCAAGCTTACGACAGCCTGGATTAAACAGGGATAGCCCGTACTCTAACGAAACACAGGGAGGGTTTGCACGGGTATTACTGGTAAATCATACAGGGCTTATATTGTACTCAGAATGGCACCTCGAAAATTGCCAAATGCTAAAAGATTGCAAGCCCCTGGAATGGTCCAAGGTTGTATAACATGCAGGCAAGTAGTTGCATGTATAAATGTGTCAACCTTGTTTGTTCTTCCTTGATTAATGCAGAGTCTGAACTACGCTGGGCATGTTGACGAGCGTCTCAGGTCTGGCATTATTAACATTACAGGAAGAAGTTCGACTTCCGTTTAGACAGACAATGCGAGTTCAAGTCACCATTGTCAAAAGCTCAGAGGACGCAAGAACTTTTTTTTCGCGTCAGCCGTCGTATCGTCAACAGACATATGAATAATTGGACACGTTCCTCTTACAGACTAGTAAAACGTCCTCTGTTGACTGGAGGACACAAAAAAGCAGACTGTATCAATCACATGATCACCGGCCATGGGATATTAGGTCTTGGCAATGAGTCCACTTGTCTGATGAAAGTTACTTTTTTTCTACTTATTCCTACTAACGGCAGAATCTGTGTCTGGAGACCCAGAAATACGACATACCATCCACATCATATCCTGTTTGCGGTGATATTGTGTGGGGATGTTTTTCTCTAAACTGTAAGCTTCACTTGCATAGCCTTGATAAAACTTTAAATATGCAGAAGTACGATGGTCAGATCTTTCGACCCTTCCTTGTTCCGCATTGGTGTAGCGACCTGTCCTAATGAGTAAACGTCAAACCACACATGCCTGTCTAGTGCAAGTCTATCTTCAACCAGAAGTGATAGAGGCGTTCCCGTGACCAATAATGTCACCAGACATGATCCTAGTCTACCAATTGTGGGACCATCTTGTGAAAACAGTATGTGCAAGGGTTAGTCAAAACGTTCAATGTATTCAGCTGAGCGCAATACAATGTACAATCTTTCATGACATATTTGAAGTTGTTACGAAACGTAAGACATACACGTGTAGAGCACTCTTCAATACAAATAAAGATTTCAGTTCAGTTCTTTATTCGGATTTCAAACCTTTCAGTTCATCTGTATCGCAAACAAACCAAATACAATAAAAAAAAAAGACATGCACAACATATCCTCAGCTTAGTACATTGTAGAGATATATCTCAAATCGTATAATTGTCTTCGCTTACGTTATCCACCTTCATGTTACAATTATCTAAAACTCACATCTTATATGTTTCCATAACTCCCAGTATATTTATCAACAAGTCGCTCATTATATTTATCAACAACTCGCCCATTATATCTATCAACAACTCGCTTATTATATTTATCAACAACTCGCTCATTATATTTATCAACAACTCGCTCATTATATTTATCAACAACTTGCTCATTATATTTATCAACAACTCGCCCATTATATTTATCAACAACTCGCCCATTATATTTATCAACAACTCCCCCATTATATCTATCAACAACTCGCTCATTACATTCGTTCAAGATTTCAGCACTACATTATTGAGTTGTAAACGTTTTTAAATATGCGACATTAATTGACTATTCTAGTGCATCCCCCATTCTTAGTTACAGCCTAATATCAAGCATACAAAAAATGTTAACTGCTTTTCTTATTATATGTTAAACTTGAAAATGAATAACTTCTTAATGCTACTCATGGGTACTCTTGCCCGGTTGTTTATTTTTATTTAAGAACCGTCATATTACTTATTCGGTTGACTATGTCGGGTGTCGTCGATGAAGCAGAAGATGCTTACTCTTTTGGAACACACGGTCTTATTCTCCTTGTGCTTTTTCATGAGTCTCCGTGTAAATCTCTCTTTTGTTCATATTTTATCCTAGTTTTGTTGAATTAGAGTTTGGATTATGATAGCGTTGACATGTTTGTATCTTCTTTTTGTTTTGGGAGGTTTTTTTGTTTTTGTTTTTTTATATGAAATATAAATTCAATCTTAATAAAATTCACAAGTATTCAAATTGAATCGAGTAGAACAGCCGTTTTGTCCTTCTACATCAGATATATTACTCGTCAGATATACTAGATGCTATCTTTAATGAAACAATGGCATCTCAAGAAAAAGAAAATTTGTCGAAATTTATGTAAAAACTAGATGGGAAAGTCATAAACCCCCAGATTTAATAGATTCCATAATTTTCAATACTGAAAATTTCAAAAGATCGTGAAGTGAATGTGTATATTCTGAACCATGCCAATATTAGAATGAATCAAAATATGGGATGCACATTATGGTAACTCTCGTTGGCTACCGAGAATTGAAAACTCAGCTAACTTCTGACCTCCCTGGAAGTGTGATATAAACATGTTCTATTCTAATTGCAGCTCTCCAGTGGTTCTACGTGATATTCCAGGCCTGTGCGACGGCTGCAGTAGGCATTGTGTTATTGTGTACTCTTGGTCTTCTATTTGGAGTCTGTTGTTCACTTAAGAACAAATGTGCTTACGTGTTCTGCTGTGTAAACCTCTTTTTGTCAGGTAGGTAACTTTCTGTGTTCTATAGTGAATATCTAATTGCATACATTCACGTGCGTGTTGAATTTGATTCTATCGTTTTAACAGACAATTTTCAGTATCTTGGACGTTCGTCCCGTTTTCTATTTGCAGGCCTCCTGGTGTGTCCAGCTTTAGCGTTTTTCGGCCTGGCCTATATCTACCTCGGCAGCTACTTTTTGAAGACAATGTCGGCGACAACTTTCCCTTATGCGGCGTTAGCGTCCGGCTTGGGATGTTTTATTACATTTGTGACCGGTATTACCCTTGCCATAGCACTGTGTTCCTGGAATACCTACATGAGTGAGGACAATTACGATGATTCTCATGGAATGCCTATGACACAAAGCGGGAACACTGAAGGCTACAATCAGGGCTACAACCAGGGTGGATACAATCAGGGCTACGACCAGGGTGGATACAATCAGGGCTACGACCAGGGTGGACACACGCAAGGCTATGGCAACAAGGCATACCAAGGACAAGGTTACGAAAAGCGTGCACAACAGCCTCAGTATTCACAACCAAAGATGTACAGACCTGTGGCATCGCCACGGTACTGAAAATATCACAATGCTAATTAAAGTACGTGTTTTTACACTACAAACACATTTTCCAGTAATAATGCTGTCATTCACACGGTTGCACTGCTCGTGGATCATTATGTTGTTAGTAGTCTGTCACAACTAAACATTACAGTAACCATCCATGTAAATCCAGATAATGTAGACTTAGCTTCTGTCTTATCATTTCATATTGGCTCCGTAAATGGCAATTAAACCCATACATAAACATCATATATTCATTGGAGCTTATCGTTCTTTAACGAAAACAAAACTCCATTGGCTGGTTTGTATTACATTCGGTGGTTCATTAGATGTAAAGTATAACATGAATACTGTGTTATTTTCTTGTATCTCCACGTCATTGTTTCTACGTCGTAGCAAATTGTAGTATATCAATAGTTGTTATATTCCAAAGATGTATAGCTGTGCCAAACCTGGGAAATACGCATGATATGATGTTCCTCGCCATTTTTGTTTTCTGTTTTGAGCCGCTGGTGATTGAAATAGCGCCAGTATTATCGTAAAGTGTTCTTTGCCTCGCAAAAATAAAGCGCTTTCTTTTAAGAAGTTTCGTACAAAATGTAAAAAGAAAATCTTAATTATTTTCTTCAATAGCGCTTTTTCACCGAAAAACGCTTTTCGTTGTTGTTCAGGGAGAATTTGATAGTTTAACCTCATTTGTCCTATTTTGTCTTTATAACGTGACAAAAAGTCCCTTTCATTTTGAAAATAAGTAGCTTGTTCACGGCGACAAACGAAAAGTAAAACAACATTGTTCTTCGACATGACATCTGATTTATTGTGATGCTTTAGATATACATGAATTCCATTTGTTGAGACAAGAAGTGTGTACAGATTATGTAATGTAAAAGGTTAAAAAGACGTAGGTTGTTTTGATGTTTGTGTGTTATGGACGACTAAACATGGTAACGACAAGTGCATAACTCGCGGCACAAAAAATAAAGGCAGACATTTTCACGGAGTTTTTTTGTGTTAAGGATACAATTGTAAATGTGTTGTCTGCCATTCAGAGAGATTGTACGTGTTCTTTTTAATGTCACGTGTCTTTTAAAGCCCTTCGACCTTGCGTTTGTGTAGATTTCAAAGAAATAGTTTTATACTTGGTTTGTTGGCCAAGTCTGGGGACAAGTGTAAGAATTAAGCTGCTATGATACATGTAAACGATTATCTTGTAATCAGATAACACTGCTGTATTAAATATATTACCCAAATGATGTTATAGGTGTTTTCTTCTGCACTGATATACAGACCAAAACGTTAACGTGTTATCGTATAGTGGTATTTCTGTGTCGTGTAATATGAAAGAATGATGAAACGGATCACGGGGTTGACAAAGACCAATCGAAACTGGAGAAACTATCATCTTGGGTAACATTGTGAAGTTTCATTCTTTCGGACAGGCTGAACTCATCACTCCGGACTGGATAAACGCGTTCTCCCGAACATCCGAACTCATCCCTCTGGACAGACTAGACTTGTTCCTCAAGATCGATTGCTGTTCATTTGTCTGTTCCCTATGACTGACAATGATGTCCCAGTTTTATGTTGCTGAATGTTTCCCATGACAGACAATGTTGTCCCTGTTTAATGTTGCTGAATGTTCCCCAGGACTGACAATGTTGTCCCAATTTTATGTTGCTGAATTTTCCCCAAGACTAACAATGTTGTCTCAGTTAACTGTTCCCCAGGACTGACAATGTTGTCCCATTTTTATAGTGTTAACTGTTCCCCAGGACTGACAATGTTGTCCCATTTTTATAGTGTTAACTGTTCCCCAGGACTGACAATGTTGTCCCATTTTTATAGTGTTAACTGTTCCCCAGGACTGACAATGTTGTCCCATTTTTATAGTGTTAACTGTTCCCCAGGACTGACAATGTTGTTCCATTTTTATAGTGTTAACTGTTCCCCAGGACTGACAATGTTGTTCCATTTTTATAGTGTTAACTGTTCCCCAGGACTGACAGGACTGACAATGTTGTCCCAGTTTTATGGTGTTAACTGTTCCCCAGGACTGACAATGTTGTCCCAGTTTTGTTTCCCAGGACAATGTTGTCCAAGTTTTATGTTGCTGAATGTTCCCCAGGACTGACAATGTTGTCCTAGTTTTATGTTACTGAATGTTCCCCAGGAATGTCAATGTTGTCCCAGTTTTATGTTGCTGAATGTTCCCCAGGAATGTCAATGTTGTCCCAGTTTTATGTTGCTGAATGTTTCCCAGGACTGACAATGTTGTCCCAGTTTTATGTTGCTGAATGTTCCCCAGGACTGACAATGTTGTCCCAGTTTTATGTTGCTGAATGTTTCCCAGGACTGACAATGTTGTCCCAGTTTTATGTTGCTGAATGTTCACCAGGACTGACAATGTTGTCCCAGTTTTATGTTGCTGAATGTTTCCCAGGACTGACAATGTTGTCCCAGTTTTATGTTGCTGAATGTTTCCCATGACTGACAATGTTGTCCCAGTTTTATGTTGCTGAATGTTCCCCATGACAGAAAATATTGCCCCAATTGTAGACACGAGTGTTGTCAGCTTTAGACAAGAGAATAGACATATAAAACCAGGCACTTCCCAGTAATTTTAAACCTCTTTATAAAGAGCACGGGAAATATACTGAGAAGGACCACGAACATTTCCTGTGGAAGTGTTCGGAATGAGTCAATAGATACCGAGGGTTTGGAGAAGTAAGATGCTACTATCTGGAAAAGGAAAGTTCAAAATATGTTAAATAGAACCATAGAGCTGGATGGTGAGCTGTCCGCCTTGATTATGATGTAAAATTGATATAAACAGGTAATGTTTCAATTTGTCGTATCCTCGATTAAAATATATCTAAATATGTGTATAACTCTATAAGAGAGACGGCCTTCGTAACAAGAGAATGAGAACAATTCTTTATTTTCAAAAATGGTGGACCTGTCATATTTTTTTCTTTATATTGATTCATTATCCATTCTCCCCGTCACCTCCCCCACTTTTTTAGGAAACGTTAGAGATTATTGTAGTACCAGTTGTCATTGATTGATGCAGTTTTTCTACTACAGTATATACCTATTAATAAAAAATCGTGATTCTTACGGTATGAGTTAATGTAGTTTGTAGGCATTGTTTTAAGTTTATAAACAGTATCCCAGAAATATTAATTATAGAAATAGCTGACAATAGTAAAACAAACCAATGCATTATTGTTTTAGATCCCATTACTAACCAACGCTTATGTCAAATCGAGGTGTTTGAAGTTAATGATTTGAATCGGTAACGCTGAAAAACAAGAGTATACCACAATGTGCTCAAGGATGGTAAGTCTGCTTCAATGACACCAAAATCTCTACATTTCAAAGTCAAGCTCTTTATTCTTAAGCCAAACGGTTGAACAGAACACACACAATACACACATATGACACTTGTATAACATTCTTGAGATGACAATAAGGTTGATGACATCGAAGTAAGAGGGCATACTCAGGGTGTTATCGCGGAAGGAAATCTTCCCAGCGAGCTCATGATGTCGGGGACAATAACGGGGACATCAACAGTTGCCAGTCGGCTTTACCGATCTGCATCTATCTAAACGTTGGTCCGACAAGTCGATACCTTTCAGGGGATCGTGAGTTTTGGAGCAAGAACTCTCACAATCCTTTACATCATATGATTAAAACAAAACGATTGTACAACCTGGCGGCACCAGTAAAAAATCCTATATTGTATTAATGTTATATTTACCTTCAATATATACATTTGTAGGTAGTTTATATTGATCGGAAAACTAAATACATACAAGGTGCTAGGTGTAGGCACAGGTAGTTGCCCGGGAGTCGGGGAAAGATGGATCATTATACAATACACCAATGTAATTACACTACACAAGTATAATGTATCAGAAGCCAGCCCAGGTATAAAGGTGTGCTCATGAAAAAAAATTATATCCAACCAACAGGTGAGATACAAAGTTTTATCATGTCATTATTGACGTATATAGTATATATATTTCGCAATAATGAGAATGGATTGTTGGGTTAACGTGTAGTCAACTTTCTTCACATCGTGGTAACTCTATAACCATAGTCATATAAACCTGTTTAATGCTTCAAGTATTTTCTTGAGATGAAAGCTGAACGATCCGGTTTGTTGGTAAACATATGATCGTACAGCTAACAACCCTGTAGTTATGTCGGCCGACAGGATATTATCACGGACCTGCATGCTGTGTGCACAAATTCTAAATTTCATTGATGTGCAAATAAGAAATCTGACCTGTTCCCGAACTCTTTAACTCAATGGAGTGAAACTCTCAAGTCTATTTATATAACAAAGGGGTCTATGTCTACCCGCACAGGTAGGAATTTAATGCACACACACGTACTAATTGTAAACCATTCATGGGCTATTTAAACAAGTAGTCTTGTCGTAAAGTATTCCACACACGTTGAATGTAGGTATAAGTGACCTGTGGTATCCCCAGCTACGGCTTACTCCCCACCTGAAGATAGTAACTGAAAGATAAAGAATGTGTTACCTGGCTAGGTAAAGCACCGCGGGTCACGATATCACCGCTGTCGTTCACGCATCGTCGGTGAAGCGGCTTTCTTACTCACCACTTCAACACAATGTGTGTGTAGGTAGGGCGTGTCGCTCTCTATACACACGTCAAGTCAGAATTTCAATCTGAATTTCGAAACCTCGTCAGTCACACCTCAGAGGTTAACGTCCATCACACCGGACGAACACCTTTTTCGTTTCCTACGTGCCAGACATCTGTAGCCATGGCTAGCTGGCCAGGAATACTGCTAGCAGCAGCAACGTTAACTTTTATTGGACTGTTTTTTCAAGTGGGAGGTTTTGTTTTACCGTGGTGGTTTGTTATTGGGGACGGTGTGTATATCGGAGTGTGGTATATGCTGGACTGTAAAAGTGGGATCGCCTCTGTCCGAAACTGTTCTGTTTACAGTTACAGGGAGGCTAGTAGCATCACTGGGTACAACGCCACAACCATAGGTAAGACTGGCTGATTGGTGACACACCTTATTTATACCGGTAATAATCGGTCTGTAACAGCAACACTTCATTTCTACCTTCATTACATATATATATATATATATTATTCCATTACATTGTCAGAATCACTGAACGCTGCTGCTGACTACAACACCTGTATTCAAGACGCATTTGATGTAAACATATTACATTACGCATGCGCAACCAATTAGCAATCGATATGAACATGCCTATTTATCTTTCCGGTGCGCTATTCTCCGGAGGGAATAAACTGATTAAAACGTATCAAATGTCAACTGCTGTGTAGAACTCTTCAGGAGATTAACTCCTGTGCTTGACAACTTGATGGTTCTTCAATCACTTAAAAATACATAACCTTTCACAACAATAACACAAAACGCGCTTTCTCTCTAATGATGTTATTTCATATTTACAATAGGTGTCGATAGATACCTGATAATAATACTCATTATAAACTCCTATTTACACGCATGGCAATGGAGGATGAATGCTTGCTTAACACATGATCATTTTGTTTCGCATTATGATATAAAGTTAAAGTGCACAGTGCAGACATGTTCTGTGCATGAGAAATCAAGTTGAATGTCATCTAGTAAATTGTAACCAATGTGTTTTTTTTATTATTATTACATTCTTAACGGCCCGTCAACACATAAAAGGTCATTAGGGCATTAATCAATGTTAGAATCTAATGTGACGAATCATATTGTACAGTAAGAGTCGAGACAAATCAAACCTTGACGAAGTTAGCAATATGTTATAGGCCTTTAGCTGAGTATGAGATGTCCTACACAAATCCATGTTGTGTGAAGTATGAGATGTCCTACATCAATCCACATTGTGTGAAGTATGAGATGTCCTACATCATTCCACACTATGTGAAGTATGAGATGTCCTACATCAATCCACATTGTGTGAAGTATGAGATGTCCTACATCAATCCACATTGTGTGAAATGTGAGATATCCTACATCAATCCACATTGTGTGAAGTATGAGACGTCCTACATCAATCCACATTGTGTTAAGTATGAGATGTCATACATCATTCCACATCGTGTGAAGTATGAGATGTCCTACATCATTCCACACTATGTGAAGTATGAGATGTCCTACATCAATCCACATTGTGTGAAGTATGAGATGTCCTACATCAATCCACATTGTGTGAAATGTGAGATATCCTACATCAATCCACATTGTGTGAAGTATGAGATGTCCTACATCAATCCACATTGTGTGAAGTATGAGACGTCCTACATCAATCCACATTGTGTGAAGTATGAAACGTCCCACATTAATCCGCATTGTGTGAAGTATGAAATATCCTAAATCAATCCACATTGTGTGAAGTATGAGATGTCCTACATCATTCCACATTGTGTGAAGTATGAGATGTTCTACATAAATCTACATTGTGTGGAGTATGAGATATCCTACATCAATCCACATTGTGTGAAGTATGAAACGTCCCACATTAATCCGCATTGTGTGAAGTATGAGATGTCCTACATCAATCCACATTGTGTGAAGTATGAGATATTCTACATCAATCCACATTGTGTGAAGTATGAGATGTCCTACATCATTCCACATTGTGTGAAGTATGAGATATCCTACATCAATCTACATTGTGTGAAGTATGAGATGTCCTACATCAATCCACATTGTGTGAGGTATGAGATATCCTACATCAATCCACATTGTGTGAAGTATGAGATGTCCTACATCATTCCACATTGTGTGAAGTATGAGACGTCCTACATCATTCCACATTGTGTGAAGTATGAGATGTCCTACATCAATCCACATTGTGTGAAGTATGAGATATTCTACATCAATCCACATTGTGTGAAGTATGAAATATTCTACATCAATCCACATTGTGTGAAGTATGAGATGTCCTACATCAATCCACATTGTGTGAAGTATGAGATATTCTACATCAATCCACATTGTGTGAAGTATGAGATGTCCTACATCAATCCACATTGTGTGAAGTATGAGATGTCCTACATCAATCCACATTGTGTGAAGTATGAGATGTCCTACATCATTCCACATTGTGTGAAGTGTGAGACGTCCTACATCATTCCACATCGTGTGAAGTGTGAGACGTCCTACATCATTCCACATCGTGTGAAGTGTGAGATGTCCTACATCATTCCACATCGTGTGAAGTATGAGATGTCCTACATCATTCCACATCGTGTGAAGTGTGAGATGTCCTACATCATTCCACATCGTGTGAAGTGTGAGATGTCCTACATCATTCCACATCGTGTGAAGTGTGAGATGTCCTACATCATTCCACATCGTGTGAAGTATGAGATGTCCTACATCATTCCACATCGTGTGAAGTATGAGATGTCCTACATCATTCCACATCGTGTGAAGTATGAGACGTCCTACATCATTCCACATTGTGTGAAGTATGAAATATTCTACATCAATCCACATTGTGTGAAGTATGAGATGTCCTAAATCAATCTACATTGTGTGAAGTATGAGATGTCCTACATCATTCCTTATTGTGTGAAGTATGAGATGTCCTACATCATTCCACATTGTGTGAAGTATGAGATGTCCTACATCATTCCACATCGTGTGAAGTATGAGACGTCCTACATCATTCAACATCGTGTGAAGTGTGATTGAAGATATTGGTGTACAATGAAATATGATAACCATTTTGTTGTAACGACCGATTAATTTTGATTAATTTTATTTAATGAGATGTTGCGCAGGAGGACACCGATACGTGTCATTTAAACTGTTGAGATATACAGAAGAAAAGAGTCCGTGTCATTTAACCTGTTGAGATATACAGAGGTAAATAGTCAGTGTCATTTAACCTGTAGAGATATACAAAAGAAAATAGTCAGTGTCATTTAACCTGTAGAGATATACAGAAGAAAATAGTCCGTTTGATAGCATCAGCACGTAGTCATGGATAACTGCGAGGCTTAAATTGAAAAATTACCAACAAGGCTTGATGGTATCGACAAATATATCAGTTAGGGTCATCTAAATGTTACTGTAATAGAGGCCTTTTAACCTTGTTACGGACATATATTAAATCACGACCAAGGATAACGCAAGCGGCAGGTTAATTTAAGTCCAGTTGAGATACATAATGTATATGTCCTATTTATCTAATATGAAGTTCGGGGCTGGTGATGGTTTTCGTATTTTGTATGTGCTCATTGAAATGATATGAAGGGCCACTTGGAATATCTGTATGCCTTCTAAATTCGATATAAAGGGTAGGACATACCTGGAATTTCAGTATGCCTTCTGAATTCGATAAAAAGGGTGGGACTGGCCAGGAATCTCTGTATGACTCCTGTATATGATATGTACGACGGGACTGGGCTGGACTCTATGTATGCCCCCTGTATATGATATGTAGGACGGGACTGGCCAGGAATTTATGTATGCCCCCTGTATATGATATGTAGGACGGGACTGGGCTGGACTCTATGTATGGCCCCTGTATATGATATGTAGGACGGGACTGGCCAGGAATCTCGGTATGGGGCTTGTATATGATATGTAGGACGGGACTGGGCTGGACTCTATGTATGCCCCCTGTACATGATATGTAGGACGGGACTGGCCAGGAATCTCTGTATGGGGCTTGTATATGATATGTAGGACGGGACTGGCCAGGAATTTATGTATGCCCCCCTGTACATGATATGTAGGACGGGACTGGGCTGGACTCTATGTATGCCCCCTGTACATGATATGTAGGACGGGACTGGCCAGGAATGTCTATATGCCTCCTTTATGTGATATGTAGGTAGATATGGAGTATGTTGATATAATTTAAACACGTAGTTACACTCTATGATGTACGGTGTTAGGAGTTCGTCAAACATTGTATATCTTGGCTGAAATAAGATGGCCTCTCTTAGTGTCCGATAAGAGGATTGGTACCAGGGTCAATATTGATTCATGTTTGGTGAACCGTATACATAGGTTCCAAAGCGTCACTTTCCTAAACTCCGAAGGAGACGGACACGCCTTCCTTCCTTTATGTTTACATTTTCACCAGTAGATCACGGTTTGTGGGAGCAGGTCTCCACATGTATATTTGGAATGTCGATATCACGTCTTTGTGATGTGCATTTTCACGAAAAATCTACATTGACTAAACAAGTGTAACAACACGACTGCCATCTGTAAAGAGATCTATTCATTATATTTACAGAAAGTCAGTCAACCCTATATCACTACTAGAAATCTTTCCTTGATACACCAGTTTTGCATCGAGACTAGAATATCGACAGTTCATTTCATGCTGTTTAATGGAAACCGTACACGAAGATATTTACTTCTGTAATTTACATGATGTACAAATCGACAAATAAATGGAGAAAACACCTATCTTAATTGTTCATAAGTGTTGTTATGTTGTTAGTAAAACTTTATACATGGGTTAATTGGTATTAAATACTCAAATAACAGCATCCTAGTTCTACTGTTTCTGTGTTATCATGGCTGAGTTCTACTGTTTCTGTGTTATCATGTCTGAGTTCTACTGTTTCTGTGTTATCATGTCTGAGTTCTACTGTTTCTGTGTTATCATGTCTGAGTTCTACTGTTTCTGTGTTATCATGTCTGAGTTCTACTGTTTCTGTGTTATCATGTCTGAGTTCTACTGTTTCTGTGTTATCATGTCTGAGTTCTACTGTTTCTGTGTTATCATGTCTGAGTTCTACTGTTTCTGTGTTATCATGTCTGAGTTCTACTGTTTCTGTGTTATCATGTCTGAGTTCTACTGTTTCTGTGTTATCATGTCTGAGTTCTACTGTTTCTGTGTTATCATGTCTGAGTTCTACTGTTTCTGTGTTATCATGTCTGAGTTCTACTGTTTCTGTGTTATCATGTCTGAGTTCTACTGTTTCTGTGTTATCATGTCTGAGTTCTACTGTTTCTGTGTTATCATGTCTGAGTTCTACTGTTTCTGTGTTATCATGTCTGAGTTCTACTGTTTCTGTGTTATCATGTCTGAGTTCTACTGTTTCTGTGTTATCATGTCTGAGTTCTACTGTTTCTGTGTTATTATGTCTGAGTTCTACTGTTTCTGTGTTATCATGTCTGAGTTCTACTGTTTCTGTGTTATCATGTCTGAATTCTACTGTTTCTGTGTTATCATGTCTGAGTTCTACTGTTTCTGTGTTATCATGTCTGAGTTCTACTGTTTCTGTGTTATCATGTCTGAGTTCTACTGTTTCTGTGTTATCATGTCTGAGTTCTACTGTTTCTGTGTTATCATGTCTGAGTTCTACTGTTTCTGTGTTATCATGTCTGAGTTCTACTGTTTCTGTGTTATCATGTCTGAGTTCTACTGTTTCTGTGTTATCATGTCTGAGTTCTACTGTTTCTGTGTTATCATGTCTGAGTTCTACTGTTTCTGTGTTATCATGTCTGAGTTCTACTGTTTCTGTGTTACAATGTCCTAGTTCTACTGTTTCTGTGTTATCATGTCTGAGTTCTACTGTTTCTGTGTTATCATGTCTGAGTTCTACTGTTTCTGTGTTATCATGTCTGAGTTCTACTGTTTCTGTGTTATCATGTCTGAGTTCTACTGTTTCTGTGTTATCATGTCTGAGTTCTACTGTTTCTGTGTTATCATGTCTGAGTTCTACTGTTTCTGTGTTATCATGTCTGAGTTCTACTGTTTGTGTGTAACAATGTCTGCGTTCTACTGTTTGTGTGTTATCATGTCTGAGTTCTACTGTTTCTGTGTTATCATGTCTGAGTTCTACTGTTTCTGTGTTATCATGTCTGAGTTCTACTGTTTCTGTGTTACAATGTCTGAGTTCTACTGTTTCTGTGTTATCATGTCTGAGTTCTACTGTTTCTGTGTTATCATGTCTGAGTTCTACTGTTTCTGTGTTATCATGTCTGAGTTCTACTGTTTCTGTGTTATCATGTCTGAGTTCTACTGTTTCTGTGTTATCATGTCTGAGTTCTACTGTTTCTGTGTTATCATGTCTGAGTTCTACTGTTTCTGTGTTATCATGTCTGAGTTCTACTGTTTCTGTGTTATCATGTCTGAGTTCTACTGTTTCTGTGTTATCATGTCTGAGTTCTACTGTTTCTGTGTTATCATGTCTGAGTTCTACTGTTTCTGTGTTATCATGTCTGAATTCTACTGTTTCTGTGTTACAATGTCTGGGTGTTACAATTTCTGTGTTACAATGTCTGAGTTCTACTGTTTGTGTGTAACAATGTGAGTTCTACTGTTTGTGTGTTACAATGTCTGAGTTCTACTGTTTCTGTGTTATCATGTCTGAGTTCTACTGTTTCTGTGTTACAATGTCTGAGTTCTACTGTTTCTGTGTTACAATGTCTGAGTTCTACTGTTTCTGTGTTATCATGTCTGAGTTCTACTGTTTCTGTGTTATCATGTCTGAGTTCTACTGTTTCTGTGTTATCATGTCTGAGTTCTACTGTTTCTGTGTTATCATGTCTGAATTCTACTGTTTCTGTGTTATCATGTCTGAATTCTACTGTTTCTGTGTTACAATGTCTGGGTGTTACAATTTCTGTGTTACAATGTCTGAGTTCTACTATTTCTGTGTTACAATGTCTGAGTTCTACTGTTTGTGTGTAACAATGTGAGTTCTACTGTTTGTGTGTTACAATGTCTGAGTTCTACTGTTTCTGTGTTATCATGGCTGAGTTCTACTGTTTCTGTGTTACAATGTCTGAGTTCTACTGTTTCTGTGTTATCATGTTTGAGTTCTACTGTTTCTGTGTTACAATGTCTGAGTTCTACTGTTTCTGTGTTATCATGTCTGAGTTCTACTGTTTCTGTGTTACAATGTCTGAGTTCTACTGTTTCTGTGTTATCATGATTCTGTGTTATCATGTCTGAGTTCTACTGTTTCTGTGTTATCATGTCTGAGTTCTACTGTTTCTGTGTTATGATGTCTGAGTTCTACTGTTTCTGTGTTATTATGTCTGAGTTCTACTGTTTCTGTGTTATCATGTCCGAGTTCTACTATTTCTGTGCTGCAATGTCTGAGTTCTACTGTTTCTGTGTTATCATGTTTGAGTTCTACTGTTTCTGTGTTACAATGTCTGAGTTCTACTGTTTCTGTGTTATCATGTTTGAGTTCTACTGTTTCTGTGTTATCATGTCTGAGTTCTACTGTTTCTGTGTTATCATGTCTGAGTTCTACTGTTTCTGTGTTACAATGTGTGAGTTCTACTGTTTCTGTGTTACAATGTCTGAGTTCTACTGTTTCTGTGTTATCATGATTTTGTGTTATCATGTCTGAGTTCTACTGTTTCTGTGTTATGATGTCTGAGTTCTACTGTTTCTGTGTTACAGTGTCTGAGTTCTACTGTTTCTGTGTTATCATGTCCGAGTTCTACTATTTCTGTACTGCAATGTCTGTGTTCTACTATTTCTGTGCTGCAATGTCTGTGTTCTACTATTTCTGTGCTACAATGTCTAATTGTTTTGTTTCTGTATTACAGTGACCCAGAGCTACTTTACAGGCCTACAGGTGTGTACTACAGTGGCCTTAGGACTTATCTTGTTCGTAACACTGGGGTTTATCTGCGGAGGATGTGAAAACTGCAAGGCCAAGGCTGGCTATGTCTGGGGCAGCATTTTCCTTTTCATCTCAGGTATATCGGACTTTTCTTTGAATCAATTAAAAACGTTGTCAGATAATCGTTATTGCATAAGGATAGATTAATATTTTTACAGGTAAATCCTGACAGTGTGAAGGTAAATCAACAACGTTGTTAGGTAAATTGTTATTGTCTTAGGATAGATAACAGCGTGGTCAGGTAAATTGTTATTGTCTTTTGATAGATAACAGCGATATCAGGTAAATTGTTATTGTCTTAGGATAGATAACAGCGATGTCAGGTAAATTGTTATTGTCTTTTGATAGATAACAGCATGTCAGGTTAATTGTTATTGTCTTAGGATAGATAACAGCATGTCAGGTAAATTGTTATTGTCTTAGGATAGATAACAGCGTGGTCAGGTAAATTGTTATTGTCTTAGGATAGATAACAGCATGTCAGGTAAATTGTTATTGTCTTAGGATAGATAACAGCGTGTCAGGTAAATTGTTATTGTCTTAGGATAGATAACAGCGTGGTCAGGTAAATTGTTATTGTCTTAGGATAGATAACAGCGATGTCAGGTAAATTGTTATTGTCTTAGGATAGATAACAGCGTGGTCAGGTAAATTGTTATTGTCTTAGGATAGATAACAGCGTGGTCAGGTAAATTGTTATTGTCTTTTGATAGATAACAGCGATATCAGGTAAATTGTTATTGTCTTAGGATAGATAACAGCATGTCAGGTAAATTGTTATTGTCTTAGGATAGATAACAGCGTGGTCAGGTAAATTGTTATTGTCTTAGGATAGATAACAGCATGTCAGGTAAATTGTTATTGTCTTAGGATAGATAACAGCGTGGTCAGGTAAATTGTTATTGTCTTAGGATAGATAACAGCGTGGTCAGGTAAATTGTTATTGTCTTAGGATAGATAACAGCGTGGTCAGGTAAATTGTTATTGTCTTAGGATAGATAACAGCGTGGTCAGGTAAATTGTTATTGTCTTTTGATAGATAACAGCGATATCAGGTAAATTGTTATTGTCTTAGGATAGATAACAGCATGTCAGGTAAATTGTTATTGTCTTAGGATAGATAACAGCGTGGTCAGGTAAATTGTTATTGTCTTAGGATAGATAACAGCATGTCAGGTAAATTGTTATTGTCTTAGGATAGATAACAGCGTGGTCAGGTAAATTGTTATTGTCTTTTGATAGATAACAGCGTGGTCAGGTAAATTGTTATTGTCTTAGGATAGATAACAGCGATGTCAGGTTAATTGTTATTGTCTTAGGAGAGATAACAGCGTGGTCAGGTAAATTGTTATTGTCTTTTGATAGATAACAGCGATGTCAGGTAAATTGTTATTGTCTTTTGATAGATAACAGCGATATCAGGTAAATTGTTATTGTCTTAGGATAGATAACAGCGATGTCAGGTAAATTGTTATTGTCTTTTGATAGATAACAGCGATATCAGGTAAATTGTTATTGTCTTAGGATAGATAACAGCGATGTCAGGTAAATTGTTGTTGTCTTAGGATAGATAACAGCGATGTCAGGTAAATTGTTATTGTCTTTTGATAGATAACAGCGATATCAGGTAAATTGTTATTGTCTTTTGATAGATAACAGCGATATCAGGTAAATTGTTATTGTCTTAGGATAGATAACAGCATGTCAGGTAAATTGTTATTGTCTTAGGAGAGATAACAGCGATGTCAGGTAAATTGTTATTGTCTTAGGATAGATAACAGCGATGTCAGGTAAATTACTTGTGATATCATAATATGTTGAATGACTTTACGTCATGAATTGAAAATGGCATTCGTTTGATTTCGTCCTCCATTTTTGATTTCGTCATCCACATTTGATTTCGTCCTCCACATTTGATTTCGTCCTCCACGTTTGATTTCGTCCTCCACATTTGATTTCAACCTCCATGTTTGATTTCGTCCTCCATTTTTGATTTCGTCATCCACGTTTGATTTCATCCTCCACGTTTGATTTCGTCTTCCACATTTGATTCCGTCCTCCACGTTTTATTCCGTATTCCACACTTGATTTCGTCATCCACGTTTGATTTCAACCTCCACATTTGATTCCGTATTCCACATTTGATTTCATCCTCCACATTTGATTTCGTCCTCCACGTTTGATTTCGTCCTTCATATTTGATTTCATCCTCCACGTTTGATTTCGTCTTCCACATTTGATTTCGATCTCCATATTTGATTTCGTTCTTCACATTTGATTTCGTCCTCCACATTTGATTTCGTCCTCCACGTTTGATTTCGTCCTCCACGTTTGATTTCGTCATCCACATTTGATTTCGTTCTTCACATTTGATTTCGTCTTCCACGTTTGATTTCGTCCTCCACATTTGATTTCGTTCACCACGTTTGATTTCGTCCTCCTCGTTTGATTTCGTCGTTTGATTTCGTCCTCCCTGTTTGATTTCGGCCTCAACTTTTGATTTCTTCCTCAACGTTTGAGTTCAACCTTAACGTTAAATTTCGTTCTCCACGTTTGATTTTGTCCTCCACATTTGATTTCGTCATCCACGTTTGATTTCGTTCACCACGTTTGATTTCGTCCTCCTCGTTTGATTTCGTCGTTTGATTTCGTCCTCCCTGTTTGATTTCGTCCTCCACGTTTGATTTCAACCTCCACGTTTGATTTCGTCATCCACGTTTGATTTCGTCCTCCTCGTTTGATTCCGTATTCAACATTTGATTTCGTCCTCCACCTTTGATTTCGTCCTCCACGTTTGATTTCGTTCTCCACATTTGATTTCGTTCTCCATATTTGATTTCGTCCTCCATATTTGATTTCGTTCTCCACGTTTGATTTCGTCTTCCACATTTGATTTCATCCTCCACGTTTGATTTCGTCTTCCACATTTGATTCCGTCTTCCACATTTGATTTCGTTCTCCACGTTTGATTTCGTCCTCCACATTTGATTTCGTCTTCCACATTTGATTTCGTCCTCCACATTTGATTTCGTCCTCCACATTTGCTGTCGTTCTCCATATTTGATTTCGTCCTCCATATTTGATTTCCTCCTCCATATTTGATTTCGTCCTCCACGTTTGATTTCGTCCTTCATATTTGATTTCATCCTTCACGTTTGATTTCGTCTTCCACATTTGATTCCGTCCTCCATGTTTGATTTCGTCCTCCCTGTTTGATTTCGTCCTCCACATTTGATTTCGTCCTCCACGTTTGATTTCGTTCTCCACGTTTGATTTCGTCCTCCACATTTGATTTCGTCCTCCACATTTGATTTCTTCCTCCACGTTTGATTTCGTCTTCCACATTTGATTTCGTCCTCCACGTTTGATTTCGTCCTTCACATTTGATTTCGTTCTTCACATTTGATTTTGTCCTCCACATTTGATTTCGTCCTCCACGTTTGATTTCGTCCTCCACGTTTGATTTCGTCCTCCACGTTTGATTTCGTCCTCCACATTTGATTTCGTTCTTCACATTTGATTTCGTCTTCCACGTTTGATTTCGTCCTCCACATTTGATTTCGTCATCCACGTTTGATTTCGTCCTCCACGTTTGATTTCTTCCTCAACGTTTGAGTTCAACCTTAACGTTAAATTTCGTTCTCCACGTTTGATTTTGTCCTCCACATTTGATTTCGTCATCCATATTTGATTTCGTCCTCCACATTTGATTTCTTCCTCCACGTTTGATTTCGTCCTCCACGTTTGATTTCGTCCTCCACATTTGATTTCGTCCCCACGTTTGATTTCCTCCTCCACATTTGATTTCTTCCTCCACGTTTGATTTCGTCTTCCACATTTGATTTCGTCCTCCACGTTTGATTTCGTCCTTCACATTTGATTTCGTCCTCCACATTTGATTTCGTTCTCCACATTTGATTTCGTTCTCCACGTTTGATTTCGTCCTCCACGTTTGATTTCGTCCTCCACGTTTGATTTCGTCCTCCACGTTTGATTTCGTCTTCCACGTTTGATTTCGTCCTCCACGTTTGATTTCGTCCTCCACGTTTGATTTCGTCCTCCACATTTGATTTCAACCTCCATGTTTGATTTCGTCCTCCATTTTTGATTTCGTCATCCACGTTTGATTTCATCCTCCACGTTTGATTTCTTCCTCAACGTTTGAGTTCAACCTTAACGTTAAATTTCGTTCTCCACGTTTGATTTTGTCCTCCACATTTGATTTCGTCATCCATATTTGATTTCGTCCTCCACATTTGATTTCTTCCTCCACGTTTGATTTCGTCCTCCACGTTTGATTTCGTCTTCTACGTTTGATTTCTTTCTCCACGTTTGATTTCGTCCTCCACATTTGATTTCGTCCCCACGTTTGATTTCCTCCTCCACATTTGATTTCTTCCTCCACGTTTGATTTCGTCCTCCACGTTTGATTTCGTCCTTCACATTTGATTTCGTCCTCCGCATTTGATTTCGTCCTCCACATTTGATTTCGTCCTTACTATTGAAATTAAAACAAAAAAGAAACAACTCTCAGAATATATTTCTGAATTTTGTGATTTAAAGTACCTGACAGTTATTTTTATTTCAAGTTAATTTTTGTTAATTTGGGTAATCGATGATGATGATGATGATGATGATGATGATGATGATGATGATGATGATGATGATGATGATGATGATGATGATGATGATGATAGTGATATTTTTTGTTTCAGGATTACTGCTTTTAATCACCCTTGGCCTGTTCTCCTGGATATATGTAGACACCCTTACAAATCTACCAAACTACCACTTGGATGGCCGCTCGTTTCCATGGGGAGTGGTGTCTAGTGGCATCGGATCTTTGTTTGCTTTGCTCGCAGGCATTGTGTTAGCTGTATTGTTGTGTCGATGGGAATATCACATGTATGATGATTATGACGACGATGATTATTATGACCGTGGACATCGGCATGTACCTATGTCACAAATTGACCACAAACGTGGTTACGACAGAACCGGTTATCAAAATCATGCGTATCCGACGTCTGGGAGCACATACGAAAAACCACCACCCCAAACCTATTACTACGGCAGCTCACAACGGGCCAGTCATCACAGTGGTAACCAAGCGCCACAGTATGTTCAGGCAGCCAGTCCCTACCGTCAGACAGCCAACATGTACAGGCCTATAGCGGCCTCGACGAGACGGGACCGCTACTGAACTATACTGACTAAATAATGATAACCGTAACTTCACAGACAACTTCCACTTATCCCACATCTAAGTTAGTGACAATTCCTGTGCTGGGAATACTTAGTCCACAGGTGTATTTTTCCACTATGGGAAATACGTAGGTCAAAGGTCATACGTATGTACACCAGCCTTGTTTCCTTCATGTCTATTCCTTACATTGTAAGGAATATTTAGATCACAGATATTTCCTTAAACTGTGGCGAATATGGTGGCCACGAATGTTTCCTAATATTGTGTGGAATACGGAAGCCAGATATTTCATTACATTGTAGGGTATAAGTAGACCACATGTGTTACCTTACGCTGTGAGGAATACGTATGCCAAAGATATTTCCTCACATTGTAGAGAATATGTAGCCCACAGATACAGCACTACCGTACACTGTGGGGAATACGTAGCCTAAGTTACTGTACTACTTTATACTGTGGGGAATACGTAGCCTACAGATACAGTACTCGTTATACTGTGGGGAATACGTAGCCTACAGATACATTACTACGTTATACTGTGGGGAATACGTAGCCTACAGATACAGTACGACGTTATACTGTGGAGAATACGTAGCCTACAGATACAGTACGACGTTATACTGTGGAGAATACGTAGCCTACAGATACAATACGACGTTATAATGTGAAGAATACGTAGCCTATAGATACAGTACTACGTTATACTGTGGGGAATACGTAGCCTACAGATACTGTACTACGTTATACTGTGGGGAATACGTAGCCTACAGATACAGTACTACCTTATACTGTGGGGAATACGTAGCCTACAGATACAGTACTTCTTTATACTGTGGGGAATACGTAGCCTACAGATACAGTACGACGTTATACTGTGGGGAATACGTAGCCTACAGATACAGTACTTCTTTATACTGTGGGGAATACGTAGCCTACAGATACAGTACGACGTTATACTGTGGGGAATACGTAGCCTACAAATACAGTACTACTTTATACTGTGGAGAATACGTAGCCTACAGATACAGTACTTCTTTATACTGTGGGGAATACGTAGCCTACATATACATTACTACGTTATACTGTGGGGAATACGTAGCCTACAGATACAGTACTACGTTATACTGTGGAGAATACGTAGCCTACAGATACAGTACTACGTTATACTGTGGGTAATACGTAGCCTACAGATACAGTACTACGTTATACTGTGGAGAATACGTAGCCTACAGATACAGTACGACGTTATACTGTGGGAAATACGTAGCCTACAGATACAGTACTACGTTATACTGTGGAGAATACGTAGCCTACAGATACAGTGCGACGTTATACTGTGGGGAATACGTAGCCTACAGATACTGTACTACTTTATACTTTGGGGAATACGTAGCCTACAGATACAGCACGACGTTATACTGTGGGTAATACGTAGCCTACAGATACAGTACTACCTTATACTGTGGGGAATACGTAGCCTACAGATAAAGTACTACGTTATTTTGTGAGGAATACGTAGGTCAGAGCTATTCAGATACAATAGTCATTCAACTCCATACATCGATAACCCGTCTCTTGTACATATAACACACCATGTTACTGTATACATGTGTAAACCTTTCAAATGTATTTCAATATGCAGCATTACGATTTTTAATAGTATATTTTTATCATTGAGACTTGTATTAAAATCACCATTTCCTTGTATATATTATACTTTGGTCTTATTGTAGTTGACCTGATGTTCCGAGTCTGTTTTAATTTCTTCATTTAAACCAAACAAAGACATGAAAAACAAAAATACAAAACTAGATTGGATCATTGAAGAGTTTTTAAACGCCAAAGATGTCGTGATAAATAATTGGCAAAGTAGATAAACCACAAGTTCAGAAACACCTTGTATTATGGGAAATAATCACCATTATCAGAGGGATGTTAGGCCATTTAATACACGGCCTAACACAATAATACAATGTTCATGTGTAAAAAAAGTCCTAAGGGAACGATCACTACTTATACTACAATGCCGACACCCACCATTTAAAAGTTCACATTCTCAAAATTAGAATAAGTTAGTGACAAATGAGCGAATTATATCAACATATTGTACAGCCGAAAAATCAAAGACCACTATAAAACCAGTCATCCCTCAAATCTCTATACAGTAAGTTTTCGTCAGTAGTCGATCTCTATCGTGGGAAACCTGAAAATATTGGGAACGATTTTTTAATCTTTGCGAAATGTTAATATCCTAGGTGGAGTAGGTTACCGACAAGAAATGGAAAATTCACAATAGTTAAATTGCAGTCGTTGGTCCTATCTTAAAACGTGACGTGAAGAGTTCCTGTCGAGATCGTTGAGATGGGTAGAACAATGTGTAGGAAGTATCCTTACTCACAAGATCGGCTTTGTTTCTCTAATGACAGAAATTGGTGCACAAACAACAATGCCTTACTCAACGTATAACTCGCACACAAAAATGTTTTTTTTCCCGTGTAGTAATCGCCTGTATTAGCACATGATTATTTGTCCGTGGTTACATTGTCCTATCCAAGGCACTTCACATCTCTAAAACAAATCGGTGGCATTAACAGTTAATCCAATGTAGGATTTCTCACGTCATTACACAACTTGAGCAATCTCATTCCAGCGCTGTCCATTACATGACACAAAACTACCAACAGTAAAAATACTTCAAAAACAATGACAAAGAACCAATATTTCCCCGGCATTCCTGCTAGATTACCATTGAACTAGTCTAACTTGTTTCAACTCTAACACTTTTTGGAACGTGTCAGAATTTATTTTTATTTAATTAGATATATTCAGACATGGTAGATAATGTCGGAGAATCAGTAATATCTATATATAGTTCGGTATAAGTAATTGTTGTGTCGGAAAAAAGTAATAGATAATTCTTATGAAACAATTTAGCTAGTCTTTCTGTTGTAATTTTCAGCCCGATTTTCTTCAATCGAATTTCAGTTGGCCTACTATTAGATAAAAACAAAGTTTTTTTAATTGAAAGGTAAGCATCTTTGAATAGAACATAAGCTAATCCTAGCGTACTCGGTAATGAGGACACTGATTGAGTAGGACAAAGTCTCACTAATTATTTAAATGATGTATACATTGTATGCTTTTTCAGTGTACATATGTCCCTCACTTACAGCAGTAAAATTACTTAGTCCATACTAAAAAAAGTCTCTTTTTAATAGAACTATCGAATGTTAGGCATTTTCCATTTACAGAGAAAAGGATTGGGTGTAGATCTGTTAGGTCGAGGTAGACCGATTAGGCCCTTGAGGAGCGATGTTGGTAGAATTAGAAAAGTACACTGGTGATCATATCTTAGGGTACTGTAGATAAGGTTTACTCAGCGTTTTGTGTCTCCACATCAACGGACATATATCTATAAAGAAAACTCAGTCTTCCAATAAATCTATTACAGACATTATCACTGACCCTACTGGACATAGATCACCAGTTCTATTACTGGACACCATGATGTATGGGAGATAACTCGTGCCATCAACAACCTTGATTAATTTTGATGAAACAAAAAATAAAAAAAATTACAAACTCGTTTATTCCACAATTTTGCATCTGACCAAACTGCTGATTTTTCAGTAAAAAGTAGTGCTCCGACAGGGTACAACATGTAGCACACCAGAATTTATGTTAGATTGGCGAATTTAAGTAATACACTATACACTGTACGTGGACACGGCGTTACTCATGTGAACCAAAACCTATAGAGAGGAAATCGCGGGGAAACACAAGTAACTTTAGGGATTCTTTTTAAAAGTCGTGTTTACACCATCTAAATGGTGAAACTATTGACCCGAGTATTAAAGGTAACGCTTTGTTGAGTAACCAGTGCACACTCAGTCTCGGATGAACTGGTCGAAGGTAACTGTCGGTTCTCAGTCAATTTGTAAAGTGATTGTCAGCAAGTAGGTTGGACAATTTGTCAAGAGGAGGCCGTCATCACAATGTCCTGATCAAATAATCAGATGAAACAGGACGCTTATCAGGATATAAAGCACTGATTTCAAAATATGACAAAACTGTTGATTTAACTATCAGATTAAACGTATATAGAAAACAATCTGATAGGACCACCATTACACGTAACAGTAGCTAGAGGTCGGACCACCATCACACGTAACAGTAGCTAGCGGTCGGACACCATCACACGTAGCAGTCGCTAGAGGTCGGAACACCCTCACACGTAGCAGTAGCTAGCTGTCGGACCGCCATCACACGTAGCAGTAGCTAGCTGTCGGACCACGATCACACGTAGTAGAAGTCAGCTGTCGGACCACCATCACACGTAGCAGTATCCAGCTGTCGGACCACCATCACACGTAGCAGTCGCTAGAGGTCGGAACACCATCACACGTAGCAGTAGCTAGCTGTCGGACCACCATCACACGTAGCAGAAGCTAGCTGTCGGACCACCATCACACGTAGTAGTCAGCTGTCGGACCACCATCACACGTAGTAGTCAGCTGTCGGACCACCATCACACGTAGCAGTATCCAGCTGTCGGACCACCATCACACGTAGCAGTAGCTAGCTGTCGGACCACCAACACAAGTAACAGTAGCTAGCTGTCGGACCACCATCACACGTAGCAGTATCCAGTTGTCGGACCACCAACACACGTAGCAGTAGCTAGCTGTCGGACCACCATCACACGTAGTAGAAGTCAGCTGTCGGACCACCATCACACGTAGCAGTCGCTAGAGGTCGGAACACCATCACACGTAGCAGTAGCTAGCTGTCGGACCGCCATCACACGTAGCAGTAGCTAGCTGTCGGACCACCATCACACATAGTAGAAGTCAGTTGTCTGACCACCATCACACGTAGCAGTAGCTAGCTGTCGGACCACCATCACACGTAACAGTAGCTAGCTGTCGGACCACCATCACACGTAGTAGAAGTCAGCTGTCGGACCACCATCACACGTAGTAGAAGTCAGCTGTCGGACCACCATCACACGTAGCAGTAGCTAGCTGTCGGACCACCATCACACGTAACAGTAGCTAGCTGTCGGACCACCATCACACGTAGTAGAAGTCAGCTGTCGGAACACCATCACACGTAGCAGTAGCTAGCTGTTGGAACACGATCACACGTAGTAGAAGTCAGCTGTCGGACCACCAACACAAGTAGCAGAAGTCAGCTGTCGGACCACCATCACACGTAGCAGTATCCAGCTGTCGGACCACCATCACACGTAGCAGTCGCTAGAGGTCGGAACACCATCACACGTAGCAGTAGCTAGCTGTCGGACCACCATCACACGTAGTAGAAGTCAGCTGTCGGACCACCATCACACGTAGCAGTATCCAGCTGTCGGACCACCATCACACGTAGCAGTAGCTAGCTGTCGGACCACCAACACAAGTAACAGTAGCTAGCTGTCGGACCACCATCACACGTAGCAGTATCCAGTTGTCGGACTACCAACACACGTAGCAGTAGCTAGCTGTCGGACCACCATCACACGTAGTAGAAGTCAGCTGTCGGACCACCATCACACGTAGCAGAAGTCAGTTGTCTGACCACCAACACAAGTAACAGTAGCTAACTGTCGGACAACCATCACACGTAGCAGTAGCTAGCTGTCGGACCACCATCACACGTAGCAGTAGCTAGCTGTCGGACCACCATCACACGTAGCAGTAGCTAGCTGTCGGATTATGATCACACGTAGCAGTATCCAGTTGTCGGACCACCATCACACGTAGTAGAAGTCAGTTGTCTGACCACCATCACACGTAGCAGTAGCTAGCTGTCGGACCACCATCACACGTAGCAGTAGCTAGCTGTCGGACCACCATCACACGTAGTAGAAGTCAGCTGTCGGACCACCATCACACGTAGCAGTAGCTAGCTGTCGGAACACCATCACACGTAACAGTAGCTAGCTGTCGGACCACCATCACACGTAGTAGAAGTCAGCTGTCGGAACAACATCACACGTAGCAGTAGCTAGCTGTTGGACCACGATCACACGTAGTAGAAGTCAGCTGTCGGACCACCAACACAAGTTGCAGAAGTCAGCTGTCGGACCACGATCACACGTAGCAGTAACTAGCTGTCGGACCACCATCACACGTAGCAGTAGCTAGCTGTCGGATCACGATCACACGTAGCAGTAGCTAGCTGTCGGACCACGATCACACGTAGCAGTAGCTAGCTGTCGGACCACCATCACAGGTAGCAGTAGCTAGCTATCGGACTATGATCACACGTAGCAGTATCCAGTTGTCGGACCACCATCACACGTAGTAGAAGTCAGCTGTCGGACCACCATCACACGTAGCAGTAGCTAGCTGTCGGACCACCAACACAGGTAGCAGTAGCTAGCTATCGGACTATGATCACACGTAGCAGTATCCAGTTGTCGGACCACCATCACACGTAGTAGAAGTCAGCTGTCGGACCACGATCACACGTAGCAGTAGCTAGCTGTCGGACCACCATCACACGTAGCAGTAGCTAGTTATCGGACTATGATCACACGTAGCAGTATCCAGTTGTCGGACCACCATCACACGTAGTAGTAGCTAGCTGTCGGACCACCAACACAAGTAACAGTAACTAGCTGTCGAACAACCATCACACGTAGCAGAAGTCAGTTGTCGGACCACCAACACAAGTAACAGTAGCTAGCTGTCGGACCACGATCACACGTAGCAGTATCCAGTTGTCGGACCACCAACACAAGTAACAGTAGCTAGCTGTTGGACCACCATCACACGTAGCAGTATCCAGTTGTGGGACCACCATCACACGTAGCAGTAGCTAGCTGTCGGACCACCATCACAGGTAGCTGTAGCTAGCTGTCGGACCACCATCACACGTAGCTGTAGCTAGCTGTCAGACCACTATCACACGTAACAGTAGCTAGCGGTCAGACCACTATCACACGTAACAGTAGCTAGCGGTCGGACACCATCACACGTAGCAGAAGTCAGTTGTCTGACCACCAACACAAGTAACAGTAGCTAGCTGTCGGACAACCATCACACGTAGCAGAAGTCAGCTGTCGGACCACCATCACACGTAGCAGTAGCTACCTGTCGGACCACCAACACAAGTAACAGTAGCTAGCTGTCGGACCACCATTACGCGTAGCAGTAGCTAGCTGTCGGAACGCCATCACACGTAGCAGTAGCTAGCTGTCGGAACGCCATCACATGTAACAGTAACCAGTCTTCGGATTCTAACCCACCAACGTTAGTAGACGGTGTCTTAAAGCGACATCACTTATAATAGATTCTTAGATATATAGATATATAGCCATGTAGTGGGCAGTTCGGTTACAGCCGGTCTAGTAGTGGACCAATCGGTTATATCCGGTGTAGTAGTGGGCCATTCGGTAATAGCCGGTGTAGTAGTGGACCAATCAGTTATAGTCGGTGTAGTAGGGGCCATTCGGTTATAGTCGGTGTAGTAGTGGGCCATTCGGTTATATCCGGTGTAGTAGTGGGTCATTCGGTTATAGTCGGTGAAGTAGTGGGTCATTCGGTTATAGTCGGTAGTAGTGGGCCATTCGGTTAAAGCTGGTGTAGTAGTGGGCCATTCGGTTATAGTCGGTGTAGTTGTGGGCGAATCAGTTATTGTCGGTGTAGTAGTGAACCAATCAGTTATAACCGGTGTAGTAGTGGGTCATTCGGTTATTGTCGGTGTAGTTGTGGACCATTCGGTTATAGTCGGTGTAGTAGTGGGCCATTCGGTTATAGTCGGTGTAGTAGTGGGCCATTCGGTATAACCGGTGTAGTAGTGGGCCAATCAGTTATAGTCGGTGTAGTAGTGGGCCATTCGGTATAACCGGTGTAGTAGTGGGCCATTCGGTTATAGCCGGTGTAGTAGTGGGCCATTCGGTTATAGCCGGTGTGGTAGTGGGTTAATTGGTTATAGCCGGTGTAGTAGTGGGTCATTCGGTAATAGCCGGTGTAGTAGTGGGCCATTCGGTTATATCCGGTGTAGTAGTGGACCATTCGGTTATATCCGGTGTAGTAGTGGACCATTCGGTTATATCCGGTGTAGTAGTGGGCCATTCGGTTATATCCGGTGTAGTAGTGGGCCATTCGGTTATATCCGGTGTAGTAGTGGGCCATTCGGTTATATCCGGTGTAGTAGTGGGCCATTCGGTTATATCCGGTGTAGTAGTGGGCCATTCGGTTATATCCGGTGTAATAGTTGGCCATTCGGTTATATCCGGTGTAGTAGTGGACCATTCGGTTATATCCGGTGTAGTAGTGGACCATTCGGTTATATCCGGTGTAGTGGAAACGAATATTCAAGAAAGAGCAGAATAAAATGGAGGAAGTCAATCAGTTCCGGGTGTGATTGACATTTGAACAGCATAAAACAGTGAATAGTGTTAGGTCCTTACTGCGTCGGCTCTTTACTGGAGGGTACCATTTACGTGACAATCATCTTATATATTCTTTAAAATGATTATTATCATGTTAATATAAATATTTGTGATTGTGTTTAATGATATATTTCAGATGTACTTGTATGAACGTATTTATTTAGCCATGAAATTATAGTAAATATCTCTCTCTCATTCAATAAAAAAGGATGTATACATGATTATTTTGAGCCACCTTGTAATGTAGATATGAAGTTGTTTTTCTTCTAATATCGTTAACATAATTGCCCAATTAAACGGCAATTAAATATATTTAAACTAATAAATTCTTACTCCGTGGTATAGGTAATATTTTATTTTGCATTATATTTCATAACACAAGAGTACAACACACCACACCACATCAGTTGTGGTTGAAAAAATGTAAGTCAAACATAATTTTCGTCTCGGGACACCTACCATGGCAGATAGGAACTTGTGACACAAAAAAAAACAACCAGGACGGTGCGTGTATCCTGCTGGATGAAGTGACTGACCAATATGAATTTAAAATCTCGCAATACATGTAAGGCTTGGATGAGACTCTTACAGAAATGATGGACAGTGATGTCACTTTTTTCGTAATTCTGAATAAAATCTAAAGTATTATACAGCGTCTACTCGACAATTACAAAAACAGGTGTTTACACACTGTGTCACTGCCAAAAACATGTGTTTACACACTGTGTCACTGCCAAAAACAGGTGTTTACACACCGTGTCACTGCCAAAAACAGGTGTTTACACGCCGTGTCACTGCCAAAAACAGGTGTTTACACGCCGTGTCACTGCCAAAAACAGGTGTTTACAAATGTCCGTACATGCAAATAATTCTGTTTCAGGTTCTTTTCACAACTTATCATTAAAGATCAAAAACATATAATGTACAACATTGTAAACTGCACACACAAATCACATTTATAATTAGCATTACATACGTTGTCACATTCACAACTTATCAGCAGACATAACACACACAAATCACATTTATAATTAGCATTACATACATTGTCACCATTCACAACTTATCACTAGACATAACACACACAAATCACATTTATAATTAGCATTACATACATTGTCACATTCACAACTTTTCACTAGACATAACACACACAAATCACATTTATAATTAGCATTACATACATTGTCACATCTTGTTATTAGTATTACGCAATATACACAACACATGCTATAGAGTGTCATATCAATTAGATATATTCTATCCCCTCTAGATCTATATATATATCTTATCTATATATAAAGGCCTCGTTTTCAACACTGTCACATGACTTTATCGGGTTCTAAATTTGGGAGGGTTTTCCCGAATAAGTTGAGAGGTCAAATTGGATATTAGAAATCGATCGTGACTATCGGGATAACATATAAACATAACTACAAGTGTATAAAACACGTACAATCAATTAAAGACAATAACGTTTTTACCGTGATACCCATTTTAGTCTTTAAATTGAAATGAGGGGGGGGGGATACTGCGGTACCTTAGTTCATTGCATCTAAACTTTTCAACCACAAACGAATGCTGCAACATCTGACTGTAGATGAACGTCAGCTTGTTCTTGTTCTACATCTACTTATAAATATGGTCCAACTGGGCACATAGTAAGTAGTGATTTAAACATTATTCAAAATTTTAGCTACGAGAGGTTTTCATGGAGGGTCCTAAATATCATGAAATTAATTGGAATATGAAATATACTTAAGAATTCCGTTGAAAACTATGCCAGATAATGGGTGAAACGAGAACATGCTACGTTGGATTTACTTTCTCAGTGGGTTAAGTCCTTTTCGACTTTCATTCGTAAAACAATTTGTAGCTTGAAATCTAAATTGAAAACAAAACACATGTCAGCTTTCCTCGATCCTGATTGTTTTATCCACACTTCAAGATTTACATGACAGGTATGTTCTTGTGCCTGCAGATACGGCGTCCAATAACTTGATCGTTATCTGCAAACAATACATTTCCTGTGTACCCTGGGCTTGCTTAATAACGAAGGAAACCCTGCCTATACATTGTACAATCTTTCCACAGATGAAATACTGGGTAATCATGCTTCGGTATTACATTCGTTTAAAGCGCCTATTGATCATATAGATACGGCCTTTCGCCGTTTATATTGGAATCATTAACTTCCAAAGATTCTTGATAATAACGGTTAATTGCTAGCTCGTCTAGCTGAACCAATCCTTTGTCAAACTACTAATCATTATTCTTAGTACCATTAAATCTGGGTTAGTTTTACTGTGATACTGTTTACTCAAAAATAGAATTAATACTTGTAACATGTGCATTTTCAAGAACTCCCAACAGCTTTTGAACAATTTCCAATATCCTCTTCTCAAAACATATTTTCTATAAGAACAAATATTTTGTCAACCCTGTACACCACTATACTCCATTCTAAACTGAAAGAACATATTCCTTCGCTTGTTATTAGTGCTTTCAAGAAAGGTGAGCAGTGGTGTAAGTATATAGCTGTGGACTATATTGAAGCGTATTTCATTAAAGATATGTCCAAATCAAAGAAGAAATATACGGAAGAAAAAATCATGAAATTGAGTTTCTGGTTGACAATACCTTCGTCGAGTTTGGTAGTAAGATCTTCCTATAGACTATTAACATTCCTGTGGGAACAAACTGTACTCACTTGTTTTTGTTTTCACACGAGGCGTAATTTATTGAAGAGCTTTATCAAAACAGGTCAGAAAGACCGTACAAAATCGTTAAATTTCACTTTCAGATATATTGATGACTTCTTGTCTTTAAATAACAAGACCTTTATTGACCATCGTTCATACTCACCGGAATTAAAATCAACAACACGACAGGCTCATCTACATGAGCCGCAAATCTAGACCTTTTCCTTCAACCAAACAAACATTGACATCTTTCCATGAAGCTGTTTGATAAACGTGATGATTTTAATTTCCCCATTGTAAATTTTCCATTTCTGTATAGCAACAACCTTGCATCGCCAGCCCATGGTGTTTACATGTCGCAGTTGATTCGATATTCAATTACCTGCTCCCATTATAACGAATTTCATGCAACAAGTCGTTAACTGACGGACGAACTTAAAACAGAGGGTTTCCAAAGATGCATGTTGATGAAAATTATAGGGAAGCTGTACGCCATAGTCATCTCATTGAGAAATAGTCTATGTCTTTATGCGATAGGAAGCTGGACGTGTTTGATGCTCGTTAGTTTACCTGTTGGTTCCATTGTTGTATACCTTAATATTACTTACTTCGATTGACTAAGGTTTACATGGCGGGTGTCGTCAATGAAGCAGAAGACTCTTTCTCTTCTGGAACACCTGGTCTTATCCCCTTGTACTTTTCTAGGAGTCTCCGTGTAAATCTTTCTTTTGTTCATATTTTGCCCTAGTTTTACTGAATCTGAGTTTGGATTTTGATTATGTTGACATGTTGGTAATTTTTCCAACGGTATCATTCTTATCGCTCTACCGTACAAAATTCCGTCTTTTAAAATGTTGATGCACGCGTTCCATGCTGATAACGACGCAACTTTATTATTAAGTACTTCACACATGCTATGAGTAATTTTTCATTTATTTATTTTTTTCCGTGAGCCATCCGACTCATAGTTTAAATAACAAACACATAATTACATAATGTGGTACAAATATGAAAGAATGTTATACAAATTAGGTTAAATGGAGAGTAAGCTTAGGATGGTACTGTAGTGTACAATTAGTTCTATCAATCACTACATTCTATGCGTTTCCTTGAGGCACAATATAAATATTTCCCTAAATTACATAATTCTTTTATATTATTGGTGTTCAGTCATATCTTAATCACTTGTTACTACCGTCCACGGCGGACTACGTTAACAAATCTGTAAGTGGAGATAAGAAATAATTTTTTAAAAGTCAATATCAATAATACTATAGATTTGTAAGTATGTTGTAAACAAATATTTTCAGTCTGCTATAAGATTTCGAATCTAAATGCTTAAATCACTACCAAGTTTAGTATTAAGTGTTCACAGTCGCATTTCCTTTATGAAAACATCTCTTCATTAGTCTGAAAGAATTGTCTCCCTTCAGTCATGTTGACGTCAACAAGAAAAATCAGACGTGAACAAAATCTAGATCGAGCCTCAAGTTGGATGAAACAATATATAAACGTGAACAGAATAAAGTCTCATACACTATACAAAAAGTACCCTGAGAGTATGACCATCTGTTCCGGACAATGAAATTTTTTCTCTCATGTAAGTAATTGTCAATCTACATCCGTGATGTCACGTGACAACAAGAAAAAAATGTTTCCAGGGAATTCGATGCATGTGAAGATCGTGGTAAACGACTGTTTTTAAAGGATATGGTACCCTTGAACCCTTAATTAATCTAATACTGTGATTGAAGGTCTTTTTACTCTGCTTTGATAAGCAGTTCTATAACTTTTACTTCGTATGACAAAAAACCAAGTCGGCCAATCGCATAAGAGTGGTGTAATTTGTTTCCAACGGTTGTGGCAAAAGTTGATTGGACGATCGTACCCCAATCACATTTACGATTTTATCCTCTGTATATTTCTTCTTGTCTATGGATTTAATCCTCTCTGAAAATAAATCCAGTGCAGCATGTTCTCTTTTTATCCATATTTTAACCTCATAGTTCACATATATATTGCATTTCATTTTCCAATGAATGGAAGCAAAATAGCGTCTTCACTAAAAACAGTCAGATTTTGGTCGATGCCACGAAACTGCGGTGGTAATGAAATTAATAGAATAAAAAAGTATGATAAAGTTCATTTTTATTACAAAGCATAATTATTTGTTGACAAGTGTGATACC